ATTTTATAGTCTGACACAACACCAAACATAGGTCTTCATTATTTTACAATCCAGCTTCTTAGTCTGACGCAACACCAAGCGTTGGTCAGTACTTAATCCAGCTTAGGCCAATCTAAGCTAATCCAAGACAGTCCCAAGATTTAGTCCAGTAACATCCCGACCCAAAATTTAATTATTCGATAATTTAATTCATTTAATAAAATATGAAATTCCAATATTGCCCTTGAGGGTAGGGGTATTTTGGTCACTTTGTAATCCAGAAGGATTTTGGGGAAGTGATTGGTACTTATTACATAGATCGTACTGAGATGAGTCCTTAGACACGTAGTGGGCTCAAATTGGAGTTGTAACGAAGAAGTTACAATCAACAGAAGCTCAGTGGCACAATCGTAATTTTTTCGAAGATGGTTTTTAAATAGGCTTATTTACAGTAGTACCCCCTGAAACTTTGATCAAATCTCACTTTACCCCCCGAAAGTTAAAATGGCCCTCTTAACCCCCTTGACCAAGGTTTGGTGTTCCAGTTTGCCCAATACCGTTATCTCCATTAATAACTCTGTGAATTTTGATGACGTGGCATGACTATTTTAGTCTTTCTACCATAAGTGATGATGTGTGAGATATAGGCCCCACTTTTTCTACTTAAGACTAAAATATTAATTAAAAAAATTATAATTAAATAATGTAATTACTTGTTAATGTAAAAAATATAAAAAATGGAAAAAAATTAATATTGAAAAAATCTCTTCTTCTCCATCTCTCTCCCTCTGTCGTCCCCTCCCCTTCCTCTAACTTCACACTATCAGACCACAACCACCATCAAAGATTTACGTTGATCGATTTCCCAAACATTGTTCACTGCAGTATATATTAATTTATTACAAATCATCAACTATTCAATTGTTCAAAACAAACAAATCATTTTGTAGTGGGTGACAACATTTGCTTCTCAATTTTTGTGTTCGAAACACATTCTCTGCTTGTATATTACAAATTTAAATTAAAAAATTCTTTAAACGTTGACTGGTTCTCTCTCTCGTTCGTTATGCAGTTACTAGGCCGCGGGAATGGAAGCCATGAGAATGATATAAGGGGTTTGTTGCTTCTCTAACTGGACATAGGAGACTCCCCCGACTCCCCAAGAAACTCTGATCTCAACTGCATCAAAAGCCTGCCCAGATAATTTAGGCCTTCTCCATCCCGGCCTCCGCCCCAGAAGAGATCATGCAGGTGGCTTTGGGTTGGAGTGGTGGTTGTGATGAGAGTGTTAGTGGTGGTGGCTTTGGGTTGGAGTGGTGGTGGTGGTGGTTGTGGTCTGATGGTGTGAAGCCAGGGGAAGGGGAGGGGACGACAGAGGGAGAGAGATGGAGAAGAAGAGATTTTTTTAATATTAACTTTTTTCCATTTTTATGTTTTTTATATTAACAAGTAATTATATTATGTAATTATTTAATTTTAATTAATTAATTAATATTTTAGTCTACTTAAGCATAAAAGGTGGGGCCTACATCTCACACATCATCACTTATGGTAAAAAGACTAAAATGGTCATGCCACATCATCAAAATTGAGAGTGTTATTAATGGAGATAATGATAGGGGGCAAACTAGAACACCAAACCTCGGTGAAGAGAGTTAAGTTGGCCATTTTAACTTTTAGGGGGTAAAGTGAGATTTGACCAAAGTTTCAGGGGGTACTACAGTAAATAAGCCTTATATAAGAAAATTATCTCTCTCTCTCTCTCTCTCTCTCTCTCTCTCTCTCTCGCGACAGCAGCGCCCTTTTTGGTTTTTTGCTTGGCGCCGCCACCCCTGACCACTGTTTGGGGTGGGACGGGTCCCAAAATGACCAGCTAGTCTCCCTCTACCAGCCCCACCCTTCTGCCGTCGTAATCCGCCGCCCAGGTCGCCGGAAAAAAGAAAAATACGGTCGATTTTTATGTAAAATTTCCTGGAGTTCGTTCAGACGATTCCAGCTACCAATTCCTTCGATCTAGGTATTCTTTTTCATCCTCTCATTGTGTCCTAACTGCTGGTTGGGTTGTTTAGGATTAATTTCTGCGTTTTGAGTGCCAATTAAGCGATAGAAGTTTTGGCCAGTTTCGACCCTTGATTTCGGCCACCTCCAGTTACTTTTTGGGTTGGTCCAAGAACAAAAGTTGCTCCACTCAATGTTCTAATCATGTAGGTACAGGTCTTGACCGGCGGTGTGGAGTTTTTCCGATCGCCGGAATCACTTTGGACACCCACGCATTGCTGATGCGTGTGGTGGCATGTGGGCCACTGTTTGGCAGGTCTTTGAGTCCTTAAATGATCCCCATGTCGTCCTGAGCACGACGCTATTCTCGTATTTAAATTTGGTTATCGTTTGATCGTCGATTGGATATCGCATATTAGGCGTTATCCAGGTTCGATATGTTCGAACCATTGGATCAACTTCATTTCAATATATGATGATCTAGGCATCCCTAAGATCGTATAGGAATTCACGGATCATGAATCGGAGCTCCAGATGTTCCGATTCAATAACTTAAAGTTTGCGTTAAACGATAACCGTCCGATCATGCGATCGTGAGCGATCCGACCATTCGATTCATACCAAACTTGCAGGACGTGTATCCTAAACCTTGTTGAACCTATAGGAACTTCCGGATTGGAAATCGGAGGTCATGGGCCCCGTGGGCCCTACTGACCCAATATGGAAAGTTTGACCACTCGGTTGACCGAGCGTCTTCTGAGGCTATTTCAACATTTGAAATACGTAGTTGGACCTTAGGAACATCTTGTTCCTCGTGCTTATACTTGAAACCCAGGAAACTAGGATTTTATTTAAAGTTTTCGTTTGAAACGCTTTATATTAATATAGTACTCGTATTCTAAAATAGGTGCTCTGACCATGCGTATGCAGCAGGTGGGATCCTCATAGGGTCAAGCAGCTTGGGACTATTTGTGCATCAAAAATGGATTATTCTCACTATGGGATATATATATATGTTGCTTAATATTGGAATTTTGACTATTTGGATATTTGAGATTCATGGTCGTTTTGAATATGGATTTTATGTTCTGAGAAATTGAAATTCATACTATGATGAAGTAATTGGGCAAAAGATTTATATGAGTTAGGATACTTTGTGATGGTTATGTGAATATGTGATTGCACTATGCTAAGTACCTTTCCTTGGGTATTGTACCCACACGTTGCGTTGGAATATCCGGTGGGTGGGCACACATATGGTTGTGTTATTATCTTATCACACGTAGTGTTGGAACTTCGAGCGTGTGTGTCATAGAGTGTAGTCCCTTGGTTGGATAGCTCATCCCTAGATGCAAGATAGAAAGTTGAAACCCTACGGGCTAGTCAAACAATCCCCCGTTGGATTGTTTCCCCAGTACTCAAGTCGGTGTGACACTAATATATATATATATATATATGTGTGTGTGTGTGTGTGTGTGTGTGTGTGTATTATTTGTGTACTTATGGAATTTGGGGAATATATTTATATAATACGGGTTATCGTAGCCTATATGTACATAACTATATATATTAGTATGTATGTGTGTATATATGTATACGTGGATTACTTCTAAGTTATTCTTACATATTCCATTTCGTAATCCTATGATTCGGGGACGGATTGGGTTAAACTAAAAAAGTAGGACTTGGACGTTATTTTATGATATGGGGGAAAGGTGAATACTATGTTTTCATAATGTTCTCAGAGGAATAGTAAAAATGGCATGTTTTGAGCATTATTTTCTAAACGGTGGGGTCAGTATGTTGTTTTCAAATATAATCAAACTTTGTTTTTGTCCACTCACACTTTTTTGTTTTGCACCCCCCAGACAATAGTTGACGGGAGCCAAACAGCAGAGCCGAGCCCTGTACTTCCGAATCCTGAGCTTCAGTAGGATAAGTTTTGTTCGTTTCTGTCCTGTTAAACTTTTTTTATCGTATGTAAATCGAAACTCTTAGATTGCTTTGTTATCGCCCGTATTAGGGTTTGATTTGTGAGACCGGAGGCCATCTATGTAAACTGCATGAATTTTAACTTGTGCATGCTGCCAGTTGGAGTTATTAAATGTGATTTTGACATGTTGAGAATTTTTGAGAATGTGCAATTTTCAGAGGAGATTCTGCCAAAATTTCGGCAGAAAGTCTCGTGTCTTTAGTAAGTGGGCCTGGCATTGGTATGATGTCGGAACTGTTTGTGCAAATAATCTCGCGGGAGAATATTTGCTTCTAGATCCTTCAACCTTCGATCTTCCTTCTCTCTCCTTCTCGATTCCTGTAAAAAAGACTGGAGTAAATAGACCACACCCGGGGGGTGTTGGCCAAAGGCCCTCCGATGCCTAAGTTAGTTCGAGTGTTTGTAGGAAAACAATAGCTAAGCAAAGGGTACGGAGTTTGTATGGTGTAAACCGGGCGGCCGGAGCCGTGTGTGGTGGCCGGAGCCGTGTGGAGAAAATATGGAGAGTGGAGAGTGGAGAGGGAGAGAGAGCTTCGGGTATTTTCTCGGGTTTTAGATGTAGGGTTTTTGAAGTACCTTGAATGATGAATAAACCCATCTATTTATAGGAGCCTCGGGGCTAGGGTTTCGTAGAGATCGAGTCGGACTTGATAATATTTGAATTATCTCGTTAATTATAAGATAATATCTAATAATTAGGATATTATCCCTTTGATAAGATAATAACCAAATTATTGATATTATCTCATTAATTATAAGATAATATCCCTTTATTATGATAATATCCCAATTAATGATATTATCTTTATTAATTATGAGATAATACCATATAACTAAGATATTATCCTGATTAATTAATTATCCCAATAAATGGTTTAATTAATTAATTTAAGGGATAATCTTCTTTTCCACGTGGCGTGCTCTGATTGGAGACGAAAATATTTGCTCCCACAAATGCCCCCCAGCTTCTGCATGGCGCTTGTGTGGCATGTAGGAGATGAAATTATTTTTCGGACTCTCCAACTGTATCTGGGCTTTCTTCTGCGAGTTGGATTCTTTTTCCAGATCAGGTTCCCAATTAGAGTAGGCTTCTGACTGTTCTTGGAGTTGGATTCCCAGCAGGAATGAGCTTGCGATTCCTTCTTGACCCGGGTTGTCCAACTTATATAAATACAGGGCTTCTCTTCACTCTTTCTCACATCGCAAACTTAACTTCTCTACTTTCTAGCTTGAGAAAGATCTTGGAGAATTTGTACTGCTTGTCGAAGAGAGGAGTTGCCGTGCATCCAAAGTAAGTCGAGCCCATAAAAATATATATTCGTATATATTTTTTGTCTTTTTTGGCAGCAAGGTTGTGGTCCAGCATGGGTTGGAGCTAACGCAATAAGGCCTGGTGCAAGTGCTGGGCTCAAGGAGAGAGCATGGAGGAGCTAAGCCCAAGGCAGAAAAATGGAGGCGCTGGGCTTCGGAGCAGTGGCCAAGAGGCGTTGGGCCTTGCGAGTCGTGGGCTTGAGCTGGGAAGCAGGCCACGCATGCGGGAGCTGGGCCAGGAGGCGCGTGCTGATGCCTCGCGCTGGCGTGTCGTGGGCCGCATGGGTGCGCCAGGTGGGCTGCGACGGTGCTGGGCCAAATGCACTGCTGGCGAGATGGGCTCGAGTTGGAGGGTGCGCTGGGCTGCTCGCGCTGGGCTGCTCCAAGCTAGGCCATTTCTCTGCCAGCTTTTATTTATTTCTTTTTTCTTTTTTCTTGTGTATTCTAACTTGTAGAATTTTCTTCTCTTCTTGCAGTTGTCTGTTGATCATGTCTTCTGAAGATGGTAGGAAGTCAAAGCTCCCTTCTGCTGAGAAGACCCGAGTAGGAGCTACTCTAGCGTCATCTGCAAGGGTCAAACATCTTGTTGGTGTAGATAGCAAGAAGAAAGGTGGTATGCACAACATTAAGGATGTCCCCCTTAAGCCTCTTGCTGATGAATGTGGAGATCGTGATCTGCTCCGTGAAATAGTCCGTGCGCGATCTAGTTCACCTGTTAAGAGGCAAAGAGATGCAGATGTTCATATCCGAAGTTCGGGTCGTTTGTCCCAGTCGAAGAGTGGAGGTCGATCTGGGAGGTCTGCTCATCCACCCAACCACCATGATCCTGCTGTTGAGTCACGAGCAGTCAAGCGTGGAGTTGATTCGTCGCCACCAATTCCTTTGGAAGTGAGGTTGGCAGAGGCTAAGAAAGCGAAAGAGTCATCTGCTCGGGCGAAAGGTTCTTCTGCAACATCCGCAGCTGATCCCCAGGTGGACAAGTCCAGCCCTGCAGGGGATGCAGGAGTGTCTGATCTGCTCAAGACGCATTTTCTATCAAGTCCATCCGCTTGTGCTGGGCTGTTTGATCAAATCCGTCAAGCTGGTGATCTTGGTACCTTTTCAAGTCTTTCCTTGGAAAAACAAAGGGAAGCCACACTTCATCTGCTTCAAAAAGGAGTTGTTTTTGCTGCTGAGACCATTCGAAATTCGTCTGCT